ATTTAAGAGACAATCAGAAATCTGGCCAGGTTTACCCTGTTATTGTTGCTGTGTGTTGAGGCAGAGCCGACTCATGGGTGATCCTCCAGTGGATTTTCACAGGCTGTAAATCACATGAGAGGAAATTGCCCATTCTTCTCCTGTGGAGCACTTGGTGGATATGAACTGCTTGCCTTCAGGTGGTATCACAACTCCTTGCCCACTGGGTCATCACAGCTCCCTTTCTATCCTGATGTACTAAGATATTCAAGGCTGATCATTCTTAGATAAACTCATTTGTATGGAATTACTATTGAAATGACTCATAGCTGACCATCCAGCAGCTTTTCAGAAGCTGTAAATCACAGGGAGAGGATCACCTACCTGCTTTCCACAGGGGTACTAGTGGATTAGAGCCTTCAGGCAAACAGCACAGCTTCCTAACAACTATGAAACCAGATCACTATTCTTACATGGTAAGATAAATTAGAAGACCATGTACAACAAGATAAAAACTTTAAATAGTGTATCACATCAAAATAGCTTTTTCTTACTGATCTTGTTACATAGAACATGTACCCAAACTATCTTTTTATGGTGCTAAAAAAGTACATCTTCAGTCCCAACTTACTTCCTTTGAGTCAGTTATGGTTCATGGTTCATGGCCACCTTTGCTAACTTTTAGCAACTTAAGTATTATACCACTACAGCTCTACCTCATAAAAAAAGAGAAAGATAATTAAAACACTTACAAAAGAATTTAGTTGCAATAATTTCTAACACTACAGCAATACATAATAGTTCTTAGACACTTAAATGGGGAGCTTTGTGATTCTCTTATATTACAGCATATATTCTCATTTTAAAACATTTGCTTCTTAAGATTTATGGCTCTTACTTAAAAAGTGTTTAAATAGTACTGCCTAATTTGTAGAGTTGTTATTCAAATCAGTTGAGACATTATATGTAATAGTATCTCACCTGGTGAACAATAAATTTAAAATAAATGTGAATTTCTCTTTTGTTTGTACTGCTAAACACATCTAGAAACTTTACATTTCATTTTATGCCCTGGAACAAGTCAATGGTAGCTTCATTTCCAGACAAAGAAATAAGATTGTTAGTGAGTAAATATTAAATTACATTTCTTCTGAAATAATTATTGACTTTTCCTGAAAATTGTAAGCAGAAAGAGGATACTATCCAAAATTATCAGCCAAAAATCACTATGTAGGAATTACTTGGAAAATAGGTCTAACTTGATTGCTTTAAAATGCAATTTTCATTACTTTGCTTATACTATAAACTATAGGTGATAAACCATGAAATTAGTTTAAAGTAGCTAATGCAAAAATAAGATTATCAAACACCATATAAACTTATGGAATAAATATTTAAACAATTAATTACCTTCATGGGTGAAGTACTTCGCTTATAGTTTTATCTTAAAATGCAGTTTAAAGAATAAATTTTATTTTTTACCAAAAGCACATAAGAGAATGGAGAAATATGTATAAATAACAATGAGGGAAGTAACATTTATTTCTTTAACAATCATTATATGCCACAACTGTTCTAGTACTTTATGTATGTCAGTTAATTTAGGCCTCCTCCTTACAAAAGCACTAATGAGGCTGAGATTTTTGGTTGTTTGTATTTTTGAAGCTGGGTTTTTTTGTTGTTGTTGTTTTTTTGAAGCTGAGATATTTTTATAAAAAGGTAATGGCTTTATTCTGTTGTTCATAGATTTGTTATGATTTTTCTTCACTATTCATGGTTTATTTGGTGTTTTAATAGGTATGATACTGTTTCAGGTTTAGTTATGATTAGTAACATATTAGTTATGATTATATATTAGTTATGATTAGTTACTCAGTAACATATAACATATGTTATATAACATATAACAGCAATGAAGCATAAAGATTATAGTCTTCAGTGTGGATTACATCTCAACAAAAATTTGCAAAATTGGACCAATAAACAACATCATGATAAATACAGAAAAGATTGACATTGTCAAAGTTTTCATTTTACTTGGATCCACAATCAATGCTTATGAGCAGAGAAGTCAAGAAACTGTTGAACCAAAGGCATCTGTTGCCAAAGACAGCCTTGGCAAAGTGCTAAAGAATGCCACTTTGAGAATCAAGAAAAGCCTCACTCAAGGCCTTGGTAGTTTCAGTCACCTAATATGCATGTAAAAATTGAACAATGAATAAGGAAAACTGAAAAGAATTTATAGCTGTGAATTATGGTATTGGCAAACAATATATCATGGACTGTCAAAAGAACAACTAAACTGTCTTTGAAGAAGCCTACCCACAGTGATTCACAGGAGTGAAGAGGAAGACTGTCACACATGCACTGAATGTCTTATCAGGAAGGGCCAGTCTCTGGCAAAAGACCTTATGCTCAGAAAAGAAGAAAAGCAGTAAAAATGAGGGCGATCCTCAATGGGATGCCTGACACAGGCTCCAGCACAGGGGAGATTGTGAAAATGGCAAAGGATCAGGCTGGGTCTTACTCTCTCATGTTTGAGTCAGAACTGACTTTATGGCAACAACAGCAGCACTACAAGTGACATTTGCATCTGCAACAAAATCTTAAGTGGTTCAGAGTTTTGTTTAGAGCCTTTGTTCCTTTGAGTATAGATACATAATAAGAAAGAATATTAATTCAACCCATGATATCTGGGAACTCAATGTACTTACTTTCCTTGAAATTTTTCTATAATCTTGAAATTATTTTTCTTTTTAAAAAATTTAAGAAGCATCAAACACGAACACTTGGGCAGGCTGTAATGTGGAAATATTAAATTTTCAATGTTAATCATTCTAATATCCTACTGCCATCTAGTTAATTTCTACTCATGCCCACCCTTCCATTGTTTTCTAAGACTGCAAATATTTTTGGAAGAAGGTAGTCCATCTTTCTCCCGTGGAGTAACTGATGGGTTATATCCACCAACCTTTCGTTTAGCAGCCCTGTATGTTAGGCGCTACCCCAGTTGTTGTTGTTGTGTACCATAGAGTCGGAACCAACCCATACATGACCCTCCAGCAGGTTTTCAGAGACAGTTAATCGTACAGGAGATTACCTATCCTTTTTCCGCAGAGCAGCTGGTGGCCTTGAATTGTGAGCCTTCAAGTTTTCAGCACAGCTTCTTGCCAATAGGCCATCAGAGCTCCCTAGGGATCCCAATTACTCATACAACTCTCAATTCATTGCAGTCAGGTTGATTTTGACTCACACTGAGCCTTCATTGGGTTTCCATGGCTGCAAATTCGAACCCAAGGAAAAATCTCACTTTTCACCCCAGCCACTCAGAGAAGCTAGAGGATTCACACTGCTGAACACACACAGCTTTTGGTTAGCAACACAACGCATTACAGACTGTGCCACTAGAATGATACTAACGTTGTTAACATGCTGTTTCTTATTCAGTACCATTGACTGAAAACCAACTCATAGCTGACTCTCCAGGGGGTATACAAAGGCAGTAAATTACAGAGGAGAAGATTACTCATGTTTATCCCGCGATTCATTATAGTATGTAGTACAGTAAGACAAGAAATTGAAAAGTGTGATGAGCTTCCTTACTACAAAAGATTACACTTATCAAAATTCGTTTTGGGCAAACAAACAAAAAGGTTCAGAATGGCTAATGACCATAAGAAAAAAGAGGAAGATAAGAAGTTCTATTAAAATATATTATTTTTAAAATAACATCGAAGTGAAATACAGGGAAGTGAAAAGAATTATGACAAAAAATACGGTTTAAAAATATATTTGTTTTGTCAATTACTTACTTCACATGAAGGATTTAAAACATCTTCTCGTAAAGGTGGAATGCTGGGGCTGAAGGCCATGAGGTCAGTCTTGGGCGGCCCCTCCCCAGAGCACACCCTCTGCCTCCTCTGCTGGGAGCACGACCAGCTCCCCACCGC